GAGTGTGCAGCATGACAGAGGAGCTGACAGAGAGCAGAGCTATGACAGAACCCCCCCTCAAGGTCCGGCTCCTGAAGGACCACCAGGCTGGAGAGGGTTCAGTCGATGAAAGTCTCTAATGAGGGTTTTGTCCAGAATATTGCGTGAGGGCACCCAGGAACGTTCCTCCAGGCCGTACCCCTGCCAGTCTACCAGATACTGGAGTCCTCTCCCCCACCTTCTGGATCGAAGAAGGCGTCGGACCGTGTAGGCTGGGCTCCCCTGAATGAGTCGGGCGGGTGGTGGGAGGTCGGTGGTGGGTCGAAAACGTGGCAGGACAAATGGCTTGAGTCTTGAGACATGAAACGTTGGATGAATGCGCATGGACCTGGGTAACTGTAAGCGAACAGAGACAGGATTGATTATTTTGGTAATCAGAAAAGGACCAATGAAACGTGGTGCTAGTTTCTTAGATTCCACACGGAGAGGAAGGTCCTTGGTGGAGAGCCACGCTTTCTGGCCCACCTTGTACAATGGTTGAGGCGTTCTCCTGCGGTTAGCCCCCCGAACGTACCTTTTGGTGGCCAAAATTAGGGCTCTCCTGGCTTTTCTCCAGACTCGCTGGCAACGTAAAATTGCGAGTCGTGCAGAGGGAACCCGAGCTTCTCTCCCCTGGACTGAAAAAACAGGGGGTTGGAATCCAAAGACAACATGAAAGGGTGAAATACCTGATGTAGAGGATGGAAGAGAGTTGATTGCTTGTTCAATCCAAGGGAGGTTGGACGTCCATTTCCTCGGGTCCCCCTCGCAGAGGAGCCGAAGCTTGGTCTCCACCTCCTGGTTGGTACGCTCAGATTGTCCATCCGTTTGGGGATGAAAACCTGACGAGAGGCTGACCGAGATCCCTAGCAGGTTGCAAAACTCCCTCCAGAACTTGGAAATGAATTGGGGACCTCGGTCAGACACAATGTTCTGGGGGAGCCCATGGAGCCTGAAAACCTCCTTGGCCATGATAACGCTGAGCTCCTTGGAAGAAGGTAACTTGGGGAGAGGAACCAGGTGGACCATTTTAGAAAAACGGTCCACAATGGTCAATAAAACTGAATTACCTTCAGAAGGGGGTAATCCAGTCACCATGTGACCATGGGCGTGAAGGAATTGGCAGTGGTCGTAGCAGCCCGGCAGGTGGGCGATTGGAAGACTTGGCACGATTGCATTCGGGACATGACTTGACAAAGTGCTTGGTGTCCTCCGTAAGCGTAGCCCACCAGAATCGGGCGCGAATGAGTTGGAGGGTCTTGGTGATTCCTGGGTGACAGAACAACTTTGATGAATGGCATAATTCAAGAACCTCTTTTACCTTTTGATTGGGGACAAACAGGCGCCCCCTAGGACAGGTGGGTGGACGTGGCTCGGAGAGTTGGACTTGTTGGAGATCGAGTTCTAATTGAGTCAAAGAAAGACGTACGGTCTCAGGCAGGATGAACTCGACCTCTTCTGAGGGCCCTTCCTTGACCTCAAAGACCCGGGACAGGGCATCCGGCTTGGCATTCTTGGGCCCGGGTCTGTAAGAGAGGGTGAAACTGAACCGAGAGAAAAACATAGCCCACCTGGCCTGACGGGGATTGAGTCTCTTTGCTGTGCGAAGGTACTCCAGGTTTTTATGGTCGGTCCATACCAAAAAGGACTTCTTCGCACCTTCCAGCCAGTGCCTCCATTCCTCCAGGGCCATCTTGACTGCCAAAAGCTCACGGTCTCCCACGTCGTAGTTTCTCTCAGCGGGAGAGAGTGCCCTGGAGAAGTAAGCACAGGGGTGGATCTTACCATCTGTGCTGCGCTGACTGAGGATGGCGCCCACCCCGGTGCTGGATGCATCGACCTCCACAATGAATTGTTTCTCGGGGTCTGGAGAGTGCAAGATTGGAGCAGAGGAAAACAATGTTTTGAGCTTCTGGAATGATTGGTTGGCAACGGAGTCCCAGATGAACTTGGTCTTAGATGAGGTGAGAAAATGAAGAGGAGCTGCAACTGAACTGTAGTTCTTAATGAACCTCCTATAAAAATTTGCAAAACCGAGAAACCTTTGCAGCTGTTTACGATCCTTGGGCTTGGGCCAATCCACCACCGCTGATACCTTCCCGGGTTCCATGGATACTTGACCTGGAGAAATGTTGAACCCAAGGAATGAGGTGGACACTTGGTGGAAAGCACACTTCTCTGCCTTGACAAACAAGTTGTTCTGTAAAAGGCGGGTTAAGACAGCTCTGACATGGCGACGGTGAGAAATGCTATCTTGTGAAAAGATAAGTATGTCATCAAGGTAAACAAAAGCGTAAATGTTAATGTCACGAAGGACATCATTAACCAGGGCTTGGAAAACGGCAGGAGCGTTGGTGAGGCCGAATGGCATAACAAGATATTCATAATGGCCATCTGCGGTATTAAAAGCCGTCTTCCATTCATCTCCCCGCCGTATCCTGACCAAATGGTAAGCGTTGCGAAGATCCAGTTTGGTGAATATCTTAGCATTTTGGATTATATCAAAAGCAGAGTTCATGAGGGGCAGAGGATACTTGTTCTTTATGGTTATTTTGTTAAGTTCTCTATAGTCAATGCATGGACGAAGTGACCCATCTTTCTTCCCTACAAAGAAAAAACCTGCACCAGCGGGGGATGCTG